GGAAGAGCGACGTAAAATCCTGTTTAATTGATTAACCAATTAAGGGGGAAGGGAGTGCTGAAGCCCAGCTGGAGCACACACTCCCCACTACAGGCAGGGCCTGTTCCAGCCCGACCAGAGAAGCCTTTGTCTACGGCTCCCACCCTGGGCCAATCGTGGACGTGGGCAGCTCTAGATGCCCAGAAGAGACTCTGTCCACGGCAGATCTTTGGGACTGTGGAGTATCCCCCAGCCCATAGTGGGCAGAGAGCTGCTCTAGTCCCCTCTGGGTAACTGGAACCAGTAAGCATCACCTTTACCGGGTGTTTCTTACTGGTTAACTAGTTAACCTGCACGTCTCTACCCTGATCTTGTTTCTTACTGAATTGTCTTTCATGGCACCCTCTGGACCACACATACTGTCCCCGACGTTCATTTCACCTCCTTGCGCCTGTTCCAACATTGGCAAAACAGGAGTGATGCTTTTCTCTTTTGTAGTAAGGCGATTTGAAAATTACAGATGAAGAGCCCCCGAACAAAAGCAAAGTATGGTTATTTGTGCAACAGGAGTGCTTTGGGGCACTTTTACAAACTATTAAATGGATGGTAAAGCTGTAAGGTAATTTTTACCAACTACTAAAACCTCTTGAGATTTTTTTTTAGTCTATTATTAACACCGAAATAGCTATTAGCTTTAGCTGCTGTCGGAAATCAAGAGAAAATTCTTCTTAAATCTTACAGTATTATTTCTAACACTTACTTTATTTAGGCCTTGCCAGTTAAATTTCATTCGCAAAGAATAGTTGCAATCTCCACATAGGAAAGACCGTACCAATACCTTTGACAGGAAAGATCAGCTAGGTGATACTACCAGTACATTTATTGTATTTAATTGTCTTGCCGAGAAATTCTTGCCCTACCAGGCAAATGACATGAATTTTTTAATAATCTGACAAACTAAATAAACCATATTGTTCAGAGACTGCCATCATTTTCAACTGATTTCAATGTTAATAATCTGAGCTAAAACATCAAAATATTGAACTCTATCATTTAAAATGCTGTTCTCTTGAA